CAGAAATTCTTGTTATTAATCCCTAAATGCATGACCTTGCACTTTTCACTATTAAATTTCATCCTATTACTGTTACTCCAGTTTACAAGGTCATCCAGATCTTCCTGTATGATATCCCAGTCCTTCTCTGTATTGGCAATACCTCCCAGCTTTGTGTCATCCGCAAACTTTATTAGCACACTCTCACTTTTTGTGCCAAGGTCAGTAATAAAAAGATTAAATAAGATTGGTCCCAAAACCAGTCCCTGAGGAATTCCACTAGTAACCTCCCTCCAGCCTGACAGTTCATTTGTCAGATATACCTGTTCTCCCTTCAGGTCACCGAATTGCTTCTTCTGTAGATCTCACCTTAAAACTTCCATTTCTCTTTATTTTTCAAACATTCTTTGTTTTGTAAATGTTTATTAACTAGATAAAGTGTTAGTTTTCTGTAAGCACAGGGAAAAGGAAGGGGAAAGCAAAGGAAAACATACAGAACACAATCAGAGACTCATGTGTGAGAATCAATAAACACGAGCCAGCATGTGGGCAGTCGGGGCTCATTCAGAGCACATTCCAAACCTACACTTCTCCCACCAGCAAAACCTAAGCCTGAACACGTTGGACACTGAATTCTGTATTGCTGGCCTGTGGTGGATAAGCATCCACACCACAAATTCGGCATCTCAATTACCATGCCCAGTGGCATTTCCAGCAGCATAATCACATTACAGACAGTTTCAGCAGAGCCTTCAGCAGTTACGCAGCCTGGAATACCCTTTGACAGGGTTGAGGCACATAAGCAGGACAGTGTGGAGAAGCCTGCCAGTGCTTGTGCTGTACCTGCTCTGTGTGCAGAAGTCACCTGTCTTAACCATGAGACCATCTGTGGTAAAGTGGTCCTCAAAGGATTAACTGAGTTACTCAGAGTAGTATGGGTTGGAGCCATGCTCCACCCCACCTTACTTCCTGTTTAGTTCGTGTGTGTTTTCCATCTCTGTTATGTAGCTGAACAAAGCAGCCTGTTCCCAGTCTGCAATACTAGAGGTGAAATCTCCGCAATCCCCTGCTTCATTCACTAGCCTCTTTTACTACACAACCTTGATTCCTTCCCAGAACAGGTGCACCCGTGCACTGAATGAAGCAGAGGTCTTTGGGGGGAAAAATAGTATGGATTCATGTAATTAAAGACTACCATAATTAGAGCAGGTCAAAACTCTGAATTTCTGTTTTCAAAATATGAAAATTTCCTGAAAATTTGTTTTCATTTCTGAATCAGAATATAAACAAACATTTTCAAAATTTCCTGTGAAATGAAAGTTTCAAAAAAATAAATCATTTTGGAAATTTTTAGTTTGGAATCATTTTAACGTTTTGTTTCAAAACAAAATTTTTATTTCAGAATGTGTTTTATATTAATATTTTAATGTTAGCTTGGACTACTTTTTCTAGGGCATTAAAACTGCTGCTCATTTATTACAATAGTGAGTGCTTATTTTCTGTTCTTGTTCAAAGTGTCAAACTATTTAATTACAATATAAACAGGAGACACTGAACTAGATAATAAGATGTTTCAATCAGTACTAAATAGCAGCTGCCCTTAATTGTAAAAATAAAATATAAAAATAAAACAAATTAATAGAATATTTTGACTACTATGTAAAAGAAAAGTAAGATGAATAAAAGTAATATATAAATAAAACATTTTGAAACAATATTTCTGCAGTGAAAAATGTTTTGTTTCAAAAATAATTTTCTTGGGAAATTTCAACAAAATCTGTATGATTACATGAAAAAAACAGATTTAATCAAAATAGCATATTCTGATGGAAAACTGTTTCGATATAAATTGTCTGACCAGTTCTATTCATAAGGCATATGCAGGAGAGGGACGAACTAAGGATGCACAGGCAATCTTAATTCTGTCATCTCCTAACTTTTCAGTGCTTGACTTTGCAACCTTAATAATGTTCTTTTAACATAGTTTTTGTGTGTGTGATGTAATATATATACACACACACACGCCACGATTCTCAAAAAGTGACCAGTGATTTTTCATGCCTCAGCTTTTGGATGCCCACCTGAGATACATGTTTATCAAAAAATGTTGAGACCCACCTTCTGAAAATCAGGTCCTTCAAGGTGTCTCAAGTTAGGCACCCAAAATCACAAGTTACTTCTGAAAATCTTGGCCCATATTATCTCTAAATAATACAATAGAACCCTGCTAACATCCATATATTGGGCTTGATCATGCAGACTATTACACAGAAGACTAACTTTATTCATGTGAGTATTCTTATTGACTTAAATGGAACTACTCACATGTGAAAGGTTATTTGCATATGTAAGTGTTTGCAAGATCAGATCCTTTATAACTTGCCAAAAAAAAAAAAAAAAAATCTGACCTCTTCCTGTCTTCTCAGCCAGGATTTAATACTGAAGTGTTAGAGTGAGAGACTATAGTACAAAGACATCTTTATTTTTGCAGCATGTGATCATACATTTAACAACACATTATGATTACCATACATTTAAAACTAACCCAAAACTGTCACAAATGGACAGCACATACTTTGTGATATTTGCTCTCACTTTTAAAAACTCTGATTTCTTACTTGCTGAGCATCAGATTATGACTAGCCTTTTCAGAGTTAATTATGTGGTGGGGACAAGAGTCTCCCCTACTTGTGGGGCCAAGAGAAGTCCTTATGTTTACTACACTGCAGAGACTGCTCTCCTGGTGCATCCCTGGGAAGCTCTCCTGCCTCAAAGGGAGCAGAGTTGACAAGGGCTCATGGCTGTGGCCCACCCCCAGCCCAGCACTAGCTCTCAGAATAGAGAACTGCACCAAGGGAAGCACACTGAATCATCCTGAAGAGCTCCCCAAGGACTGCTAGGTAGGACTTCACAACAACCCTACCCTGGTGAGTGGCTAAATGTTACATTTTGACCCTAATTTGTAATGGGTTCCCTGGTCATTACTGTGAATTAGCAATGTTCAGCTATAACTGAACGATGGTAAGTCTCCTTGTTGATTAAAATTTGAACCCAGCTTCTCTTTTACTGCTGGCTGCAGCAGACTCTGTTTATCAATTATTTAGTTATGGAGTCTGCAAAGTGGCAATGTCAGAGCCTTCTTCTAACGACTACTTCGCTGAGATGATGTATGTTGCACAAATAAACCACCTACATTAAAATGCCTGCATACTTATGCAGCAGGAAATTTTCCACCCTCTCTGAAAGGATTTGTCATAGTTGTCTTCACACTCATTCAGTTTCCTGCACCATAATTTACTGCAAAACTGTTCCATAATTGCTAGTTTGACTTTGATAGGAATTATATGACAAGAGGATTTCAATCATTCACAGTCCAGAAATATCAAATGTTATCCTCACAGTGACAATGAAATCCATACTGACACTACATCCAATCATATCACACTCCATTTCCACACAGATTACCCCATTGAGGAAACCGCTATTTACCCAACTGCCACCTCCAAAAATGACTTATGAAAAGTCTAAGAAGGCAGCAGCACAAAATTTTCAAGGCCTCTCATGGCAAGAAATATACTTTTTCTAATTTTTTTCTTTATTAATTCTCAAGAAAGATAAAAAAACCACACAAGCAATGTAATAAGCTGGAAATATACATTAAAACTGCAATCATAATGGGGACAGTAGGACAAAAATGTGGTGATTTATTCTCTCTTCTGAGTTTTTGTAGAATAGGAACAACATTCATGGTGCTTATTGTCTTGTGTCCACTAACATCTTCAGTGGCTATCATATGGGCTAGCTCAGCAGCACGTCAAAATTCTTCACTCACAAGCCATTGGCGCTCCTATGGATTCCTCTCCCATAACATTATCATGCGTTTTAAATATGATGGCCAATATTTTCAAAAATTAGTGCTTAAAATCAGGATGCTACGTCCATATTTAGGCACCTAAATGTGTGACCGGCTTTTGAAGCGTTCAGCACAGTGGAGCCTCTGCGTGCTCAGCATTTTTAAACTTCATGCTATATATTTATGTGCTTAAATATGGAATTAGCAGCCTAACCTTAAGCACCCATTTAAAAAAAAAATTGGCTTATGTACTTTACCAGTTATCATGATGAAGGCTAGCACCAGTGCAGAAGTAAGGGTAGCAGTACCGCAACCTCCCCTACAATAACCTTGTGACTCCTCCCCACCCCCAACTCCTTTTTGGGTCAGGACCCCTACAATTACAATTAAATAGCTGAAATCGTGAAATTTATTATTTTTAAAATCCTCTGACCATGAAATTGACCAAAATGGACCATGAATTTGGTAGGGCCCTAAAGATGAGTGGAGTGCTATGGAGTTGACCCAGGGTGAGGCTTTCCAACTGCACAGATCCTGGGGAGCATATTAGCAATGGAAGCCCAGCATAACTGGGATTGTACAATATAATGTGGAGCATTCTACCTGAATCCCTACTAAATGAGATACAATTTCTGTAATTTTGTGTTTCTACAAAAGGTTTATGATACAATACACCTTTTCAAATAGAACCTTGTTCCCTGCCTTGCAAGTCACGCCATACTGAACAGATGACACGTCTGTAGTTAGATCTGAAGTTAAATATTCAGACACAGTATGCAAAACATTTAAGCATTCATAGGTTAACACCTCTAAGGAAAATGCCTCCCAGAACTAAAGGAGAAAGACTTAGGAAGAATTCTTCCTTAACCATGCCCACATAATTCTATCCCCCTTCCTACTACCCTGCATCTATGTCATAGGTCTAGAGTTTATTTCCCCCAAATAGCTTCCACATCCATCTCTTTTCCAAGTCACAGCAGAAAAGGAATAAGGAACTTACTGAAACATTGACATATCTTACCTCCATTGGAAATGCCCAATTCTATTATCAAAAGAGTTTTAACTGCTGAGCATCAGGCTTTGCTTCCATGAGGAAGAATGAATTAATAAATCCACCAAACGTTACAAGTCAGAGATGAAAGTCAGTTGTCTAGGATCTTTTCCTTACCTGCTTACTGTCCCTCTGAGATGACAATGAAGAGGAGGCACTTTTATGTGATGGAGTGGATGTTTTGTGAGCAGGAGATACACCCTTCTCCTCTGAACTCATAGTTGCAGCTAATTTCTAGCGATGATCTTGTGCTGTTAAGACCATACCAATCTTTTCTCAAAGTCACATACAAAAAGAGAGGGGAAGGATTTTCCACATTATTCAATTTCACAGTTCATCTTCTGGAAAGGAGGAGAACTCAAAAGGCATCCAAACTTGACCTTAGTTAAAACAAAAATGGGAGAGAAAAAGAGAGAGAATGAATCACTTTCACTCTGAAAAAAGTTTCATTACATATCTGTAAGCAAACAAAAAGATTCACTCGTAGTCATTGTTCTATAATATGGTTTCATCAATACATTTAACGGATCTCACAAATATTTACCTATGCTTGCTTGACATTACCCAATATCAGTACAAATGTTGCTTTTCACTCTGACAACAGCAAATAAGATTTTAACTTATCCCCAAATTTCCTTTCTTCTAGCAGGAAAGCCCACAGATGCATTACAATGCATTTTTACCATAGCTTGAAGCACCTTGGATGCAGAACTAGACCTGTCAATCTAGACAGGCTGGAATGGCCACACCTGTGAAGACCTAGCCAGTTCAAAGTACTTCCAAAGTTGCTTCACAGAACTAATTCCTTCAAACTTTATTTCATAGGTTATTAGCAAGAACAGGATAGTCATACAAACACTCCCTACTGAAGAACAACTTCAAATTTAACCCCAACTACTAGCATACATATATACATTGTGCCCATAAAGAAAATTAAGGAGAAAGCAACAATTTAAGCCTCATTCAGAACTATAAGCCTTGTGCCAGGTGGGTTGAATCTGCAGACTTTCCTACTAGAAGAAAGGAAAATGTTCAGGGACAATCAGATAAATGTTCTTATTCTTCTTCATAGGGAAAGTCAGCAGATCCATTAAAATGGGATATACAATGTGTGTCACCCCCAGGGAAAAGAAAAGATGAATGAGGAAACAGATGTGTCCTCTCCCCCCACCCCAAAATAATTTATTGGGGGAGCATAGTACGGATCCCTCCTTCCAATGGCAGGGACTGATGAGACCTGCACATTTAATTTGTCAAACTTAGAGGAGGTATAGAAACATGACCAGGAGACCATCCGACATGTCTCTTTATATGTTTCAAATAATCCTCCAAGCCAGGAAGCTGCCATGACTCTGAATAAATGAGCATAAACGTTTGAGGGGGAAAAAGGTGGTGTCTATTTTTGAAGGCTTCTGAAAAGCACCAATTTAGCCACCTAATAATTGAAGCCTTGGCAGCCTTTTTGTTTGTTTGTTTATTTTATTTTTTATGATAAGTGTTAAATCAGCAAAGCTAGAGTTTTTTTTTTTTTTTAACTGTGTGCCACGTTCAGTGTTGATTATTAGAGCCCTGCTGACATCAACAGTATGGCAGAGGTGTGTGTGTTCAGAGGGTTTGTAGGTTGCTTGATTGGCTTTGTTTTGTTTTTTAAAATTATTTATTTATTTAAAGGGTGTTTTGCCTGTGGACAAAAAAGGATAGAAGAAAAAAAAATTTCTTGTAACTGGGTTTATTTTGGAAATAAAGCCTGTGTTAACTCTTAACATAACTTTGCCCTCATCAGAGATGCAGTACTGCTGTTTTCCAATAAGACCTTAACTCCTTTGGCAAAGAGATTTCAACCAGAATGACCACCTGTAAAAGACGGAAAATCTAAGGGTGCTTCTCACCACAGCATCAAAAAGGATGCTTAGTCAGGGAGATTAGTACAAGATTTAGATCCTAAGATGGAGGAATAGTGCTGAAAAGTTGAGGCATCTCCTAGAAATCTTACGTCTAGACGAGAGGAAAATCCTGCACCTGCTTGCTCTCTAGTGAGCTGGAAACATCTACCACTTGGATTTTAGAGTCTGAAGTTTTAGCCCCATGTTACTAAGACGTTGCCCTTGCCTCAACGAGCTCTTTCCATGTTTGTGATTTCACACTATAGAGCGGGGCCCTTCAAGGTACCCTGTTTGTGAAATACTTTCTCAAGCTGATATAATTCTAACCCATGGCTTGCCACTAAAAGTCCTATTCATATTTGTTTAAAATTAAAGCACACACGGTGGGTGCCATTAAAAACAGTATTTAATGCTCCAGATACCTGTAGTGACCATAGTACCTTCTTATTTTAAGTATATGGGTACCATAAATACTTGGAAAGGTAAATACTGAGCTTTAAAAGACATCCAATATAAGGCCAAATTCACATTGGTATAAGTGGACACAATTCTTCAGAATGCAACAGTGATGCACTTGTCCCTCTTACAATATAGATGAACAGGGGAAAGTAGATATTCGGCACTGACAAACAAATGGAGTACCTCCTTCATTAAAAAACCTAAACATATACTACTTTTGTGTATCAGCCTGTAGTACAGTTTCTACAAGAAACAAATACATCTCTATGATAGTCCTAGCTTTTTTCAGTCCAGATGCTGAAAAACTAACAAAGTTACACTCAAGGGTTCTCCCCACTTTCACATTAGTATGCCAAGGACTGCTGGTCCATTTTAACAATGTTTTCATACTGTACAAATATGATACATAAGTATGTGCTGCAGAGATTTATATCAATATTGGTTTTTCAAGATCCATACAATTTAATACAAATCAAAAATCAATTTTAATGTTTAAAACTGCTACACTTTAGAAAGATCTGACATAGCAGAAAGCAAAGATGATAATCCCAGTTCACTGAACTGTACAATTGGTTCAGTCATGTAATAGCTAAAAGAACAAGTTTTTAGCCATTTATGCTGAACGATAAAGATCTTTTAAATATTTTTTTAAGCATTGTAGCTTTTGGGTAAATGAAAATCAAACGGGTTTTAACATGACTGGTCTCCATTGAGTTCACTTATGCAGAAAAAATTATATTTAGCATTGGCAGAGGAAGACAGTGATCTGACACTTAAGAGTGTCCAATCCTTTTTAAAGGTGTTCCGGAAGAGTACGCACTGTTGTTAGAGCCAAACACAGTGCTAGCAAGTACATGCAAGAACAACAGATTTACCAGTGGTCTCTTGTCCTGAGCTATTGTGAAGTGCCTTCTAGTCAAGTCTAAAGCTTTAAATAAATAAATAAATGTTGACACTTCAGCCAGACTCAGTGGTGCTTTTTTGATGTGCACAAATTCCCTCAAGAAACAGAGCTGAGACAACCAAACTCATTAAACTTGTTAAATAACTGACTGCAAACTCAATCCAGGCAGTTTTATTGCTTATATATTGCTTACCTAGTTGTATATATTCACAAAATTACACCAAGCTTCTTACCATGAATGTAAACATTGGTTCACACACACAATATAGCTTATAAACAGAACTTTACAATGTAGTAAATTTTATAACATACATGTGCATCAGCATCTGCTCAATGGTGACACTTCAGTAAATATTTACAGGTGTTAACAAAATTAAATATTTATAGCACCAATATTACTAACATTTTAAAAAAGAATTAATGAAACAATTAGAAAAACATGATTGAAAAATAGGCAGATATAAGCACAATAGGAGAAATTATGAACACAAGTATGATCCACAGACGCTTTTATTTTTCCCCAGGGATATTCCACTACCACGCTTCCTGAGGCCCCGCCCCAACACCACCCCTTCCCCAAGGCCCCACCCTCCGCCTCTTTCTGCCCCCACCCTGCCCCCCCAAGACCCTGCCCGTCCACCACTCACTGCTTTCCACCCTCCCCCAAGCGCCTTCCCCAGCCACCAAACAGCTGATTGACAGTACCACCATAGGTGCCGACTCCGTGGGTGCTCTGGGGCTGGAGCACCCAAGGGGAAAAATTAGTGGGTGCTCTGCATCCACCAGCAGCCAAGCTCCCCTCACCCCCCGCCCCACCTCCTCCTCACCCCCTGAGCATGCCGCATCCTCACTCCTCCGCCTACCTCCCAGCGCTTCCCAATGCCAAACAGCTGTTTGGAGGTGCTTAGGACTTTCCAGGAGGGAGGGAATGATGGAGGGGGAGGAGCGGGGATGCGGTGTGCTCAGGGGAGGAGAGGCAGGGGCGGGGACTTGGGGGGAGGGGTGGAATGGGGGCGGGATGAGGTCGGTGCAGGGGCGGGGCCAGGAAGGGGGCAAGTACCCACGAGGAACAGTGGAAGTCGGCGCCTACGAGCGCCACCGAATAGCTGATCAGCGGTGCCGCCGAACAGCTGTGGCTGGTGGGTGCTAAACACCCACTATTTTTTTCCTTAGGTGCTTGAGCCCCAGAGCACCCATGGAGTCAGTGCCTACACTATGATCAACAGCTGTATTTTAGAAAGTAAAGAAAAATCTCAGAAACGGTGTACCAGCTTTGAGCTTTCCTGTGTTGCAATAAGCTCAGATCCATTAGGACTTATTTCCCAAATTCTGCCTGAACTTTGAAGCATCGTCGTATCCCCCCAATAGCATTTTAAAAGAGTTAAAATAAAAAACAATTCTCCAAATGTAATGAGATCTTAGTCTCTCCAGAGCTAAAATTGAAGCTCGCTTTCTATTAATAAATTAACCTAATTTTTGATCGTCCCATTAAATTCACCAAAATTAAACCAATCCTCTTGAAATGTCACAGATGGGCCTGCTCCCTTTCCATCAGTCACTCTGCGTTTTGCCATTGACTTTGGTGGAAGCAAAATCAAGCCACACGCCTGGGTAGAATATTTCTAGCCAACACAAGGCAAAAGAAAAATTAGGCAACACATTCAGGAAACATGAAAGTTCAAAAAGTGAAGTTCACTTTATGAACATTTTTTCCAGCTTTATTTGACTTGTGATAACTGCAAGTTGGTTTTAATCCTTTTTCTTGGCAACGACTAGTGTGCATGACTAGCTATGGGAGGCTTTACGTCCAATTCTGCCCTATACATAGGACTAGCAATCAGCTCCTCTGATTCCTAGCCCTGTGCCTAATCCAAAAAACCATATTGCCCCCAACCCAAGCACATCACTTAGGTCAATTTTTCAAATGTGGGTGCCCAAAGTTAGACATCCAAGTCCATACAAAGACAGTTTAATAAATGGTCTGGTTGTTAGTTGCCAGGGATACTCAGCAACCACAGCTCCTTTTGATGTATATAATTTCCTCTTATTTTGTATGTAAATATATTATAGTCTACTACACACTTTTTAGTGGAGAGAAGCATTTCCTCATATACTCTCTCCTTATTTTGTTTTA